GTTGCGCCGCTCAAGGTGGCTGCATGTTGGAGCAGCTCTGTTAATTTCATTCTGAGATTTTGCTTTTGGAAACTTTAATTCCTCTTTTGCTGGATGTAAATCACTTTTTTGGATGGTTGTTTCCTCTGGTATCGGATGCTGTGCAGCTGGAGGGATTTTTACTGAAACTTTTTTTTAGATTTGGACATTTGTTATGATGCGTAACCATGGCAACAGGGCAGCTTTCTACAACCAACAGCAGCTGAATAACATCTCAAAAGCTCAAATAATATGTCAACTACAGCCCCAAATCTCAAATGAGTTGAAAGGATGTTCTGTGGATGCATTCTCATCAACCTGCCAGCTGTGCTCGAGTGCCTGACCACTGAGATCATGGAACTAGCAGGAAACTCAGCTTGTGATTGCGGAAGGACGGGATCGTCCCTCGGCACCTGCAGTTGACTGCCTGCAGTGACAAGGAGCTCGGCAGACTGCTGGGGGGAGTGGCCATCGCTCTGGTAGGAGTTCTGCCCGGCATTCGGGTGGTCCTACAGCCCGAGGGAGCCGAGAGGCCAGCCGAGTCTGGACGGATCGGACGGCATCTGCAGCCAGTTTCTTCGGATCCGCTGTGGGATGTACCTTTACAAGAGATTCTTCCTGTCTACAGCCATCAGTATCTATAACATCTCTTAATGAAATGAGGATAACGAGTTACAACAACAAATAATTTCCCTTTGGGATTAATAAAGTATTTTTGAATTGAATTGAATTGAATTTGTTAAGTTTTAAAACAGTGTTGAGGAATGCACTGTACGTCCCTTCATATCTGCATGAGTCTAATTAAGGAGGGTCCATTAGTCTCATGGAAAACCAAAAGACAGTCTACTGTAGCACTATCTACATGTGAGGCGGAGTACATGGCACTAGCTGCTACTTAAGCTTATACTTAAGACAACTGTTATTCAATATGTCTGGATTATTCAGCTAAGATCTATGAGGACAATCAGGGGACCAGATCCTTAGCCAAAAATCCTGTACACAGGCAAAGGTGTAAGCATGTTGATGCTAAAATATCATTTCGTCAGATCAGTTGTAAATGAAGGAAAAGTTTTTCTGCAGTACTGTCCAACTAATGATATGGTTGCAGCTGTACTAACCAAACCAGCAACAAAGATGAAGTTGAAGAAGTATGAAATGTTTATGTTTGGTGTATGAAGAATGCATTTTGGTTGAAACATTAACAGAGTCTGAGGGAGTTAACCAAATGTGAGCAAGTGGGGGTGTTGACATTACAAACGTTTTTGTCTTGTGATGCTCTCATTTGTTTAGTTGAGTTTTTCTTATTGGTTTATTGTGCGTCACGTGACTTCTCTAATTTATTGCGCCTGTGTTAAATAAAAGATGTGTGCTCTTTCAAACAGAAGAGAGTGAGGAGGAACAACACGAAGCCAAACCATGTTTCATGCGTCACGCTTAACGCTGAGCCAAAAAGTGAACTCTGCTAAACAGTTCACCAGTAATCTGTCCACCAAGCTGTGATCAGCATTTGTGTCTCGTTCGTTAAACAAGTTGGTATTTGTTTGCTTCCAAGCCTTGTGTGAGAATCAGCAGAAGAAACGTTTGTGGTTCCGTGTAACAAGCTCGCGCTTGCGGTCCCTCAAGGCATTCCAAAGATGTTTAACATGGCTGACAATTCAAACTCCATCATGGGATGCCCTGCTGCGTGCAGTCGAGCTGCCCACACTTGGTTAGTAAACAGACTGACTCAACAGGAAACACGCAGCTGCTCCAGATCTCCTTTGCTGAACATGATTTAAGATCTGCAAATAAAACAATGTTAGATTTTCATTTATTCTCTGACGTAAAGAACATAGGTTGACATAATGTCATTTTTTAATAGCATTTGTATGTTTGGTTCACGATCAATGTGATACTGTAGAAACAAGTTTAGTTTTTTTTTTAACACTTTAGTGATTCTGTTTTACTACAGAATAAACAAAAAGTAAAAAGAGGGAATTTTAAGGACAATTATGTTTGAATTATCCATCCATCCATTAACTTTACCCGCTTCTTCCTTTATGGGTTGCAGGGGTCACTGGTGCCATGTCCAGCCATCACTGTGCTAAAGGCGGGCGGACACCCTGGACAAGTCTCCAGTCCATCACAGGGACACATGGAGACAAATGAGACAAACAAACATCCATCCATCCATCCATCCATTTTCTTTACCCGTTTGTTCCATTTTGGGTCACGGGGGTCGCTGGTGCCCATGTCCAGCAATCACTGTGCGAGGGGCGGGGTACACCCTGGACGGGTCGCAAGTCCATCACAGGGCCACATAGAGACAAACGAGACAAACAACCATTCATTCTCTCACTCACACCTAGGGACAATTTAGAGTTACCAATCAGCCCAACATGCATGTTTTTGGTCTGTGGGAGGAAACCGGACCCAGGGAAGACCCGCGCATCCCTTAACAAAAAGTAGTACATTTGAAGTTGATTTTTGCAAGTATACTTTAAGTTAAGTATAAGTATATCAAGTATACTACACACCATACTTGTAGTGTACTAGAAGTATACTGCTTTGATACTTGTTTGGACTAAATTGGGACATTTTTATACTATTTTTAAGTATATCAAATAAAGTTTATAAAAAGTAAACTTCAAGTACACTTCCTCATTTTTAGTGGAAAATAAGTATACTTGTCGTACACTTAAATAAATACTCTTTGCTAAGGGTTGCACAGAGAGAACATGCAAACTCCACCCAAAAAGGCCCCCGGCTGGGATTTGAGCTGGGGCGATCTGCTCGCTGAGAGGCGACATCCACCAACTGCACCACCGTGCTGCCCTGTTTGGATTATTCATTAATAAATGTATCCTGATGCATGCTCAATAATCCAGGTAGAAAAATCGAAAAAAGTTAAATCTGGTCCTCTGGACATTCAAAAAAAACAAAAAACAAAACAAAGCAAACAAATATAGAAACGTTTCGTCTCTCATCCGAGAGACTTCCTCAGTCTGAGGTGCTGTTTTCAGTCTCTTAAATACCACCTTCTCAGAGTGGATCAACTAGTTTGCTGCTGACAACCAAAACCATGTGATCAGCTGGTAGTAGTTTTTAAATGTAGTTTTTAGTTTTATTGCTTTTGTGGTTGTTGGGATTTGTTTAAACAGTTGCTGTGTTGATTCAGGAGTGTTTACAGTCCTGGTCTGACCACTAACATGAATTAACACCAACTGATTCACCTTTGCTTCACCTCACCTGTGTTCAGTTTGAGCGACACCAATCAGCCTGATGATGAGAGCCTTCCCTGCTTTCTTCACAGCCTCTGGATTGTAGTCCAGAATGAGGTCACCTCGTTCAGACTTTTTGAAAACTAATGAAAACACAGGACTTAGCCCAGATTGAAATGTGGCAACAATCGTGTGCAGACTTATACAGTGCAGAAAATCTGCTCACGACCACTGTGGCGACTCTGAATTGTTACCTGTAGCTAGCCTTTTGCTACTTTAAATGATCTTTTTGCTACTTTTAGCAAGCATATTGGTTATTTTATCTTCTAGTGTTTTTATTATTTTAGCTTCCACCTATTGTGCTCATTTGAGTTTCTAGCTAGTGTTTTGCTATTTTTAGCTAAAGTTTTACAACTTTTAGCTTCCAAATAGTATTTTGCTCCTTCCAGCTTCTACCAAGTGTTTAGCTTTTTTTTTTTTTTTTAGCTTTACAGTTTTGCACCTTTTAGCTTCTTCTGATTCTTTTCGTATCCTATATTTTGCTCCTTGTAGCTTCTTCTAGTGTTTTGCTTTGTGTATTTTTCAGCTAGTGTTTTGCTCTTTTAAGCTGCTAGTGTTTTACTCTTTTTTTTTTTTTTACCTCCAGTTAGTGTTTTGCTCCTTTTAACTTCTGGCTATATTTTTTTTCTTGTAGAATCTGCAATTTATACAAAGTGTGTAGATTTTTTTTGGGGCTTCCAGCTAGTGTTTTACTTTATGTCAGCTTTTAGCTAGTGTTGCTTCCTTTAGTTTCCAGCTTTTCTTCTGCTTCCCGTAGATTTTTTTTAGCTTCCAGCTAGTGTTGTGCTCCTTTTAGCTGGTATCTAGTGGTTTAGTTCTTTTAGCTTCCAACTAGTGTTTTGTTCCATTTTAGCCTCTAGCTAATGCTCTCCTTCTTTAAGTGGTAACTAACTCAGCTACATGATTTAACACCAACTGCTTCACCTTTGGTCTACCCCACCTGTGTTCAGTTTGAGGGACAACAGTCAGCCTGATGATGAGAGCCTTCCCTGCTGTCTTCACAGTCTCTGGATAATTCAGAACTAAGTCGTCTCGTTCAGACTTTTTAAAAACTATAATGAAAACACAGGACTTAGCCCAGACTGTGGGAACAGAGTGTGGCAACAATTTTGTACAGACTTGCACGGTGCAGAAAACCTGCTCACCATAGTAGTGACTCTACTTTAAGCTAAACTTTTGCTACTTTAAATGAGCTTTTTGCTACTTTTAGCTAATGTTTTTGTACATTAGTTTCATTTTAGCTTCTACCTAGTGTTTTGTTTCCTTTAGCTTCAACCTAGTGTTATGCTCCTTGAAGCTTTATTGTTTTTTTGTTGTTGTTGTTTTTAAGCTTCCAGCTAGTATTTTGCTCATTTTAGCTTCTTGCAAGTGTTCTGCTTCTTTTAGCGACACCAAATTTCTGCAGTCACACAGACTACTCATCCGCACTTCTTTTTTTTTTTTTTTTTTAAAGAATGCAGTTTCTCCAGTTGTTTGACTGGGGCTGGATGTTTTGTAGGCGTTTTACAGTAACAACTAAATTTCAAAATAAATGTTTTTATTAGAGCTGTGCTGGTGAAAACTTTCAAAGAGACAATGGACTCATGGATCTGCAAGGTGAAAGCATATGTAGTCAAACTAAGAAAATACTTTTAATTAACCCAAAATGCATAAACATGTTATTACCTTCTACATAATTATGCATGTAGAGTACTATTTGAAATGTTTATGTGACTTTTAATCCAAAATGTGCAACAAAATTGTCCTATTTTTGGGCAAACTCAATACGTTAGAGTTAACCTTCATACCTGTTTATATCACAGGGGGAGTTTCAGTAGAAATAAGGAGTGTATACCACCTTCCAATAACTCTAATCTACAATGTTTTTCATGCAGCAGCTCTCATGACACCAATTTAAAATCCACCCACACTCTTAAATCATTGCACAAATCAATAAAAACAGACAACAAAAGACGCACAATATGTTGTGATGACTGTATTTAAACCTTAGATTTCAAACATAGTGACATTCGACTGAATTATTCCAGAGATCCTAATGACAGCTTTGAGTTTCTGGGCACTTTCCCGTCTTCTTGTGGAAGCAGCGACAGGCCATGAAGGCCACACACTTCAAATACTCTTTGAAGTCGATCTCTCCGTCGTGGTTCTTATCCATCCGCTCCATGGCCTTGTCTAAATCAGCCGCACACAGTTTTGCCTAAAGAGCACGTAGTTTCAGTTATTAGCACTCAATAAACGAGGAGGTAAAAGTGCACCATGTTGGTGGTGAAATAATAAAAAACAAACATAACTCTAACAAAATGTGTTTCTTACTTTGACCTCTGGGTTTTGGATTTCCTTCTCCATCATTGTCATTAGTTCTGCCTTGTTCAACTTCAAATCACTGTTGGAATGCTCTATAAATGCCTCAACGAGGTTTTTAATGGCTTCTTCTATACGAGGCTTGGCCATAGCTGTAAACAAACATTCGTATTACATAACTTAAACAAAGAAGAATAATTCTAATACGGTTCCAAATCGATAAAAGTATTCCACAGCTACATTTCTTCTCTGTGGCTATGTAGCCCTCTCTCCGTCTGTACTCACCTGTTTGTGCTTGCTGTGAAGATTTTAAAAATATCTAGACGAGACTGAAGTCAATTTACTGACACTGCCTCTTTTTATAAGAGTGCACACACAATGTCTGAAACTATGAGTACCAGTAATGCATTAATAGTTTGGGCCCGTCCCTGGTCTGTCCTTGTGCAAATATTGTCTTGTCATAATCAGTTTGTTTTGATTTGAAATACGGCTTTTGTCTTGAATTTGTGCCTTTGTGTGAATGAATAGAGAACCATATTTTCAGCAGGTGGAGTAGATAATTTGCCTCCTGTTGTTGGAATGCTTCAAGGTGGGGCTGTTGTAAAGGTGTCAGTCGGCGCATTGTCAGTGGAAATCTACTGCGACTGGCACAGACCAGTGGAGAAAAGGTAAAAAAAAAAATCTGTACGTGATTATCAGGTGTCCACACACATTCATCTGCACCCTCAGTGCTGGGTAAGGTTACAATAGACCTAGCCCACTACTGGAGTTTTAATTAAGCATTTTAAGTTACTAATAAACAACAATGGATGGTTTCATATTGGCAAGTGATTTTTTTTCCACCCCTAAAACTTAACTTAGTCTACATTATGGTTCTTAAACTGTGACTAGTATACTCTATTCACACAAGGAGAGCTGTTGGTCAGGCTACTTCTTGTTGTGCTATTAACTCTAAAATAGTTATTGAATCAAGTGTTATGTGTGTAGGTAAAACTATATGATAAACAACCCGTTAAAATACACCAGAATGCAGGAAATGGTGTCTACTTTATTCAAAATGTTTTGGGGGAGGACCCACAGACCCTCCCTACCAGTGTGCCCCCCCAAACACACACACATTACAAATGGTTCTGATGCCAATGGCACCATGTTGCTAACCATCTTCCAGAGCAGAACCCTCACCCAGACCAAAGCAGGACTCTCACATTTAACATACTACACACCTCATGAACAACAAGATTATTGTCTTTTTTATTTTGAAGTGGGCCAAATCCATCCATCCATCCATTTTCTTTACCCGCTTATTCCATTTTGGGTCACGGGGGTCGCCGGTGCCCATGTCCAGCAATCACTGTGCAAGGGACGGGGTACACCCTGGACGGGTCGCAAGTCCATCACAGGGCCACATAGAGACAAACGAGACAAACAACCATTCACACTGTCACTCACACCTAGGGACAATTTAGAGTTACCAATCAGCCTAACATGCATGTTTTTGGTTTGTGGGAGGAAACCGGAGCACCCGGAGAAAACCCACGCATGCACGGAGAGAACATGCAAACTCCACCCAGAAAGGCCCCTGGACCGGGGTTTGAACCAAGGACCTGCTCGCTGAGAGGCAGCAGCTCTACCAGTTGCGCCACAGTGCTGCTCGTGGGCCAAATCACTTATATTAAAAGTAAACAAATGTAAATTGCTGCTGTAATTTGATTCTTCTAATAAGCCATTTAACTTGCTATGATCCCAGGTTTTGAACAGGTGTGATACTGGTGTGTGTGACCACAGTGTGCACATCTGATGTTGCTTACAGCGGTCCTCCGTGCTCTCGGGGAGCTTGTGTGTTTGCCCAGACACATGAAAAATTAGAGGGAACATTGGTGCTGGGTCGACTGTCCTGTGCAGGACCTGTTCTGTCTCACAGAGGATAATTTACATTAACAGGTCACACAAGTCATTTCTTAAATCTTCATAGTTTGCTTCCAAAGACTTTCTTGTAATATTTTAAATTGGCTTTTCTTCTGAAAACGTTCCACTTTGACTCATTTTTCTTGGATTCTGGCTGCATTTCCCGCTCCTTGTACCTGGCCATGGCTGCACATTGTGCTGTGTCTAAGGTATTTAAGGTGTAAAACATTCAATCTGAAACATTTTCTGTGCTTACAAAGTAACACCTATTTTCTTTTGCACGTCACTGTAATAGTTTAATCATGTGTTTTTGGTTGTTTGTAGTTTCAAGGTGGTTCCATATTTTAGTTAATCCCATTTAATCCCTCTGCTGACGTGGAGTCGAGACAGTTTTTCTTTTTGTCTGCGTGGGTTTTATGAACTTGTGTAGAGTTGGAGTACATATTCAAAAATCCAGTATAAACTGGGTATAAATTCTATTTATTCTCTTCATCATCAGAAAATGAGACATTGGACTTGATGGAAGACATCACCTCTGTTTCTGTTGTGTTCCTTATATAACAGACAACATGTGGCAGTAACCTTGCTTTAATGATTGTCTATTATTGTCTCTGTGTTCTTTGTTTAAATCAGGTCTCTCTTGTAAATGAGTCCTCAAGGCTCAATGAGACTAACTGTATAAATAAAGGTTGAATGAGCCTGTGGAGGAAACCAGCAACTTCTCGTCTGTCCGCTCTGAATCCTATTTACTTTACATAAAACTGCAGAGCGTAACCATTTTCTACATCCTCTCGCAATATTTTTAAGATGTCACTTCATAAAGGCCTAGCATTTCTTGATTTAATGCATATCGCTCACCACCTTTCATATCAGGATTTTTAACTGATAGGTTATGAGGAGAAATGAGCCATTTTGGTCAAACTTTGAATATAAAATTATGCACAATCACATACAGTATTGCAAGATCTCACATTATTTGTTGGAGCTTAAAGTATGTGTTGGGAATGACCCTCAGCTACTACCACACCAAGTTTGAGCCCAATAGCTGCTAAAATGACCGTGCTAGAGGCATTTTTGTGTTTGCTAAGCTTGATTAGCTGTGGCAGCCATCTTGAAACAGATTGACTCCAGAAGTTATTCAGTTTTGGATAAACATCCAGTGAACATTTTCTTAAAGTTTCATTTAAATCCATCCTGTGGTTCATGAACTATTTTGCTAACAGACAGAGTTGACCCTAATAGCCAAAACAGTATACAGTCAGATCACGATCAGTACATTAATGCTTAGAGTATAAGTTAGGTTTGACTCTCGGCTGAATTATAATCTTTCTTTGAGTAGGTTGTTTTGCTGTGGTGGAAAATTTGAAGGGAATTAACTCCAAAAGACAAACAACAACTTTATTCCCCTTGACAGCATGATACATGAAATATAAGTAATACATATATAAATATTCCCAGATTTGTTTCACAATGCCTTTTTATTATAACTCTTACAACTCATGTACAGAGAAGAAATGAGTGCTGCCCTTTCAAATATCATCTTATCAAATGTTAACAAGTTTGAACCTTATCATGTGTAATCTATAAAAACAGCTGAAGTTTGTTCATTTGATGCCAAACGGGAGTGAAATGTACTTTTTTTTTTGTTTAACGAACACAAACAAAAGGAGAACGCATGACGAAAACTGTCGGATCCACCCCCCCTCCGCCTTTTTGTAGTAGTTTTAGCCTCGTATGTGTCTGAGTTCTGTTAAAACATGTTTTGCAGCTTCATATTTAATCGGATTAATACGCCTCCGCCCAAGATTTATCTGTTGGAAACCTGAACTGTGAGAAGTTTTGTTCCTGTTGTGTTAAAAAAAAAAAAAGTCTGCAAGACACTAAAACAGACTTGTATAACCATAAAATCTTAATTAGTGAGACAAACAATAATCCAGTCATAACATTTAACCAAGATAAATTATAACTTATCGTTCAGATTTATGTAAACTAATAGGTTAATGAGATATTAACGTCTTGTGCCAGATTTAGCCTCCAGGCATCGGTAGTTTCCATGGCAGATAAACACACCAAACATCCAAACAACAAAGAGGAACTGAAGCCATGAGTCACAAATTATGAATGCGTGTATTATACAGACAAAAATAAACATTAAAGCTCACTTATCTGAATTAAATTTTATTTATTCCCATTTTGGAAAGTTTGAATAGAGCCCAGTCATCGGTGTTGGAGACGTTACAATTAAGACTTCTTGTCATGCCACACATTATGCAACAAACCACACAGTCATGAAGCAACACTTACATAACGACACTTGGGTTAAACAGAATCAAGCCTTAATATTTAAACTGCTTTATTAAAATCACATTTTTCACATGTGTGAAATGTTCGCTCTTATCACCCATACAAGCAGCAGCAAACTGTTTCATTACTTACATTACTTTGATGTAATCTTTGTAGTTTAAATGCCACAAGATATATTAAATATAAAACAACACATGTAAACTTGTTTATTCATAATTTAGTTTCTAGAAAGAAAAAAAAGCCTTTATTTGTTCAAACTTATAAAGGAAAAACACAACATTAGTACTTTTTTCTTTACCTAAATATCAAAAGTTAATCAGTACATAAATGTGACTGTTTCCTGAAAGTTTCATTAAAATCCATTCAGTGGTTCACGAGATATTTTGCTAACAGACAAACATGACATGTTGATCCCAACAGTTGATGCTCATGTTTGAAGCAGCGATCTTGTGAGATCTGGTAGCTCTTAGGGGTGATGTTGGGGATGACTCTCAGCTACCACACCTGTTTTAGCATATAATCAGTAGAATGTATTGATTTACAGCCATTTTTATGTTTTCTAAGGTCAGTTGGCTGTGGTAGCCATCTTGAATTGTATTGGCTCCAGAAGTTAATCAGCTGTAGAGGTCTCTATCCAGTGATTACTTTCTGAATATTTCAGTAAAATCCATCCATTGGTCATTTAAATATTTTTCTAACAGACAAACAGGGTTGAATTCAACAGTTAGTGCTTCAATTTTTGGCAAAGATTTTATTTGTTCAGAAGACATTTTATCTAAAAATGATGCAGAAAAACTGGTTTGTGCATTTGTCACATCTAGACTGGACTATTGCAATGGTTTGTTATCTGGGTGTCCAAATACTTCTTTAAACGATCTTCAGTTGATCCAAAATGCTGCTGCCAGAGTCTTAACTGGAGTTAGTGGGAGAGATCATATCTC